ATTAATATACTCCTTAATATCCTTTTTTATTAATTTCTAGAAGAATATCTATCTTATATATTTTATTATTTAGGTTACCTTTAGGTGCCTTTCTAATAGTTTATTATAAAACACTATAAGTAGCCTTATTTTTATTATATATCCCTCTAGTACTATAAGCCTACCCTAGTATTAGAGTAACTTATTTTTCTTTTTAGCTTAGTAACTCCTTAGTTATTACTACTCTCTAGACTAAATTTACTTATCCTCTAGTTATACTATAGTAACTTCCTTTTCTAAAGTAGTAGTAAGTTCCTCTAGGGCTACTATATCTTAACCTAGTAGTCTACTACGCCTAATTACTACTACCCTTCTTTTAAACCTACTAAAGAAGTTCTTTAAGAATATACCTTATGCTTCTTTTTTTTTTTTTTACTAGGCTAGTAGTTTAGCCTCTATAAGAGCCTATCTACTATATTATCTTTACTTAGGTAATATTTAATCTTAAAATTAAATAATAAGAGGTCTTATAGTAACCTAGCTTAGTAGCTATTAAGTTATAGCTTAGCTACTAAGTAGTAGTGCCCTAGGTAGTCTATTAGGAATATAATATAGTACTAGGTATATAGAAAATAGTGCCTTTAATATATAGCTACTTCTTAAATTATAAGTAACTTAGCCTCTAGTGCTCTATAGTATAGCTTTACCCCCTAGAGTTTCTATAATATATAAGCTATAAGGCGCTAGGCTTCTTTATAAAGCTAGCTTAGTACTACTTTTATTATAAAGTTAGATATATTTATTTTAACTTAAATAGGTAATATAAGGTTAAAATACTATAAGATAAAGGTATAAGTAAATATAGTGTAAATCTTATAGAAGGCTTCTTTAGCTTTCTTTATAATTACTTACTTTTTTACTACCTTAGTAAATAGTTAGTTAGTAAAAAAGGAATATACCTTAGAATAGTTCTTAATAAACTACCTATAAAAATTTATAAACCCTAAGAAGGTCTATATCTTTTGTACACTAGTAAGTAGTAGCTACTAGGTAATTACTTTTACTTTCTTTTGTTTTATTAAAATACTTTTATTAGATACTATAAAACCTAGAAAGCTAATAGACTTAGTGTAAAAGGAGTACTTCTTAGGGTTAGTATATAGCCCTATAGTGTTTAACTAGCTTAGTACTATCTTTACTGCCTCTATATAGCTCTTTTTATCCTCTATAAAGATTAAGATATTATTTAAATAGATAATATAGATAATATCTACTAGACCTACTAAAGTATTATTAATATAGGATTAGAATATTATAGGTGTATTAACTAGCCTAAAAGGTATAACCTAATACTTATAGTGTCTATAGTAGGTGTAAAAGACTGTCTTTTATTTATCTTTACTATAGATCTTTACCTAGTAGTATATATCTTTAAGGTCTAGCTTTATAAATTATATTACTTTTACTAGATAGTCTAGGATTTCTCTTATTAAGGGTAGTAGTACTTAGTTTTTAATAGTAATCTTGTTAAGCCTATAGTAGTTAATATAGAGGTAAAGCTTACCCCTTTTCTTAGGTATAAATAAGATTAGTGCTTCTACTAGTAACTTTAAGGGCTATATTTAGCCTTTAGCTAAGGATTTATTAATATACTTCCTTAGCTCTCCTAGTTCTTTCTTTACTAGTAGGTAGATAAGGCTAAACAGTAGTACTATACCTAGTTCTAATTCTATTATATATATCTATATATTATCTTTTGCTAGTTTTATTACTAGGTCTACGTTAAATATATAGGCTTATTCTTTATATTCCCCTAGTATTATAGCCTTTATACTACTAGCCTTACTAGCCCTTTTATCTTTCTTTAGTATATAAGTAGGTATCTCTAGTACTCCCTCTAGTGTCTTATACCCTAGGTATTAAATTATAGGGGGGTCTATAAGGACTACCTTAGTATTCTTTAGGGCCCTCTTAACTACCCTTTAGCCTTATATAAGTTAAATATAGTCTTTACTTAGTAAATAAGTCTAGCTAATTATTTTTTACTTAAGGTTAAGCTTTACTACTTACCCCTAGGGGATCCCTAGGATAATATTATATTCTCTTATATTACTTACTTATAAGGTATAGCTTTATATTCTTAATATTTTAATATTATTTTTTACCTTTAACACTATCTTTTCTAAACTATAGTCTAGGGCCTTGCTTCCTTATATACCTTATAGTAGTAGTCCTTTTCTATAGACTACTAGTAGCCTCTTTATATATAATATTCTCTAGTATATAAGGTTTTTATTTACCTCTAGGTTAATTAATACTCTTTTTTTCCTTTATATACTGCCTATTTTAGTGTAAAAGTCTACCTTAAATTAGTAGTATAGCTTTTTTTCCTAAGGTAATTAGATAGTATTAACCTCTATTACTTCTATTATACACTGTCTACTTAAGTGTCTAGGTTAACTATACTTATAGTACTTTTCCTTAGTATAGCTAACTAATAAATACCTTAGCTTACTATAGTTAAAGTAAGTTAAGAAGTACTATAGCCTAGTTAAAGGTAAGTAGTTACCTTTTTTCTTTTTTACTCTTAGGGCCTTTAGCGTTAGTATTAATATACCCTAGGTTATTATAGGCGTAAATATAGAGTATATAGACTAGGGCTTTATTATAGAGACCTTTATATTAGGACTTAGTAGTATAGCTAAGGCCTACTAGTCCTTTTACTCTTAATTCTACCTCTACTAGTCTACTAGTTTATCCTTAGCGTAGGCTTTAGCTAGTGTCTTAGCCTATTATATAGTATTATTAAAGGCTTATTATATCTTTAGTATCCCCTAGGCTAATATATAGCTCTTTAGATTAAGTAGTAACTAGTTAAGTATATAGACTACTTATTACCTTTTAGCTTATAGGTTAAAGTACTTTACTTTAATAGTCTTATACTTATTAATAAATTACTAGTATAACTAGTTAACTTTTTACTTTATATTATTAAGCTTTATTACTATACTAAAGGCCTATATATTAGTATTAGTAATATTATTTTTTAACTAGGTCTTTATTACCTCCTAGGTTACCCCCTTTATCTAGCTATTATAGTAGGCTTTAATATACTTTTACTACTTATATACTAGGTTACCCTCTAGTGTAAAGCTAGTATACTACACTTTACTTTAGTTATCTTTAAATTCTTTCTTTATAACTTTAAACTATCTCTTTAGCTTAAATAAGAAGTCCTAAAGGTTATTTTATATACCTTCTTTATATTAGATTAAAGGTAACTACTTTAATAGTATATTAATATAGTAGTACTTATACTTTAGCTAAAGAGTAATAGCTAGGCCTAGTGTATTATATACTTCTTTAATAGAGGCTTTATTTATTAAAGCTAAAATCTAGTTAACTATTTTTTTTTTCTTAGCTTTTTTTACTTACTCTTTTAGAAAGTACTTAAGCTTTTCTTTTATTATTTCTTTAAGGTTACTCTAGAGCTATTATTATACTAGTAGGCCCTTGTTTTCTACCTATGCCTAGGTATTACTACTGTCTAGGGTTAGTTACCTAAAGGTAACACTTATACCTTACTAAGTAGTAGCTTAAGTATTAAAAGGTAATATTATAGCTTTAATAGTTAGTATACCTAAAAATAAGTAAAAATTAAAATATATTAGAGGTATTATAGTACTAAGTAAAGGAGTTTATAAATAGTGTAGTTAAAGGTTAATTATAACTATTTTTTAATTTACTTTCTCTTAATTCTCCTGTTCTTATAAACTCTGCTTTTATATAACCCTTAGATAATAGTTTTCCTGGTTATAGCCCTATAGCTAGTGGTCCCCTGGTGCCCCCTACCTCTGGCACCTGACACATAATGCCTTAAAACAGAGACATTCAGGGTAGGATTCTTGATGTACATAATTTATGCATGATTAGATTACTTTAAAGAAGCCCTTTCTAGTAAATTTATGGCGGATCTATCCAAACTAGCGTGCCAGACTTTAAGCCACGAGCCTGTTGCAGGAAGAAATGTGAGTTTACCACGGACTCGTCCAGGTCGGCAGATCATCCACGGCCTTTCTGAGCTCAACAATCTTCTCGCGCAGTGCCAAACGGCCGGGGACTTTGGCATCGTTGGTCGTGTCCTTGGGCAACACTTCCTCAATCTTCTCCAGTAGTAAGAATAAGGGACTTTGGTAAATAGGCTCCATATTAGAAGCTGCAACGTTGAAGGAAACTCGTCCAGGGTCCAACTCTAGTTTAGTATCCCGTGCATCGACTGCTACTTAAGGTGTGGAGTTCTAACTAATCAGGCAAATGCCTAGCCTTTTTCTGTCTAATAGCGGCAGACACTTTGCGGGGCAGCATTTGGGTCATCAAAGTACCTCTTGAAGTCTCTCGCTTATTCCACACAGACTTACGCATAGACCTACGCATAGACCACAGCTTACCCTTTTGCTAAGAAAAAAAAAAGAAGAAAACAGAGATATCTCTTGTTGCAATGTTGACCATCGCGGATAAATATCGGAGTTATCGGGTTAACCCCGATGACTCATCGCCGGCGAATCCTCGGATATTCGGCCATAGATTCTCCGAGGATTCGTGGGCAATAAGTTGGTTATTCAACCAACCAACCCACGATAATTATCCTTCTTTTCTTCACGCATAATAGAGAACCACAGTTACCCCCCATTATTCGTCAATTGCCACCGATACGTACGGTTAACCGTATCAATCTATCCCTTGGTGTTACCAACATCTCTATTAGCTTAAAGCACATCTAGAATATAGTAGCATAAATTAACTTTTTAGAGAAATTTACCCCTAAAGACACTACCTTAATTAAAGATAACTAGGCTATAGTATATACTATTAGAGAAGTTCTTTTTCTCTTCTTGTTGACTTAGGAGCTGAGGATTTGGAGTTGAGGATTTGAAGTTGGTGTACTCCGTAGGGACAACAGAAGTGACTTAAGAGGAGGTGGGTCAGTACTTTGAGATAGTCTGAAATGCTAAGATTTGACCCACAAAGTGTCTGCCTGTTAACTGCTACTGGATTTTATGGTTGGAGAAATAATAGGTTATAATGGGGCAATATGTACTGTAGTCCATCAGCAATCGATGGGGTAGTCGCCACAAGGCATCGGAGGTTATTGATTGAGGGTAATCCTCAAGGTCCAGCTGTTGGTCGCTCAAACAGGACAATGGGCCAAATTGAACGGCCTGGCTCTGAAGGCTGGAATTGGGTATCGCGATGCGGGCCGTTCGACCCTCAAGTCTCTTGATTCTCTTCAGCAGTTGTTCATCTCGACTATTGGCTTGGCAACCCATCGATATCCACATGCAATCGGCTGTCGCGAATCTCAGCTTAGCACGAGCATCAAATGCAGGGGACAACAAGGGTCCGATCCTTGGTCTCTGGGTGCCTGTTGTAAGCCCAGGAACATGCAAGTCAGGCTTCTTTTCGGTATGCCTAACGCGGCACACACATGGGGTCGGATCCTTCGAGTCTCGCCCAACGTCCGAAAAGACGGTTGCGGCAGGCGGGGAAATTGTTCCTCGATGCCGCGACTTACATGTGGTTGTCTATGATAGTTAGTCCTGTCAACGTCCGTCCACTTTTGCTGTCGCCAGCCAGCGACGAGTAGCCTCGAGCTGTCCTGTCTTTGGCCTTACAGACGACCAGCGTGTCACTCCCTTCACCGCCTTTCGTTCTTTCTGTCTGTCTGCGCACGTCGCTCCTTCTATATTCACTCGTTTTCAACATGGCCATCGCCCCAATTCTCCTTCGAGGCATCTTGAAATCTCTCTCGGCTGTCACTCTTTTGGCTTTGCCAGTACTCGCCGACCCGTTGCTGAAGACGAGCTACCTCCCTGATGGCATCAGTTCCGCCTGCGCGAGTGCTCTGACGGCCGACACGGCTTGCCCGCAGTCCATCCGCACGCTGCAAGCCGGAGACTATCAGTCAGAATCACGACTTCAGAGTCTCTGTACCGATGACTGCGCTTCGTCGCTGGCCACATACCACAGTGCCATTCTATCTAATTGTGCCTCCGACACATGGGAGGGTCTCGAAGACGAGATACAGCCCGTGGCCTTTATCAGTGAGATGATTCGCTACCATTACAACTTCACTTGTCTCTCTGACGGCGGTCGTTTCTGTAACAACGTTGCGGCAGCCTTTGCTGCTGCTGCTGATACAGACGCCGCCGGTGACCCGAGTAAACTACCCGCTGGTGGCGACTTTGGTGACCATGACACCTCTGACCTCTGCGATTCGTGTCTTATCAAGAACCTGACTTTCAAGGCTGGGTTACCCTTTTACGATGGTCCTGAGCTGCAGTCTCAGTCCCTCTACGAGTCTAAGACGGCCAGCTGCGGAATCACAAACGCGCCATTGACAACAACTGCGAACTCAATAATTCCGTAAGCTCCTATGCTACGACGATGCACACAAAGGACAGCACTAACACGAAGCCATATTACGAACAGATCTGTGACTGAGACACCCCCAACCACCACTACATGCGCAGGCAAGACATATGCTATCCAGCCCAACGACGGCTGCTTCTCCGTCTCCGTCTCTCAGAGCATCGGAACAGAGTGGCTCCTTCAAGACAACAACATTTTCGCCTTCTGCCACGAGTTTCCCGCCGAGGGCAACCTTTGTCTCGTAAACACGTGCGACGTTTACACGGTTCTCGAGTCCGACACTTGCAAGACCATCACGAAGCAGTTTGGCATTAATGATGCGCAGCTCAGAGCTTGGAACCCGGTAAGCGCAACTCGAGTCGCATCATGGCATTGGCCATTGTAGGCTAATAACAAGGTTGTATCAAGTCTATCAACGCCAGTTGCTACAACCTCGACAAGATGATTGGCGCTCAGCTGTGCGTCAGCAAGCCCGGAACACCTTACGTCGAGCCAGAGCCGACGACACTTGCGCCCTCGATCCCGACCACCGCTGCACCCCTTCCGACCAACGTTGCTGTCGACACGAATGACCACTGCGGGAAGTTCTACGAGGTGAAGCTGGGAGACTACTGCAACCTTCTCACCGTCAAGTTCTCCATTTCCTTGAACGACTTCAGGTTCCTGAACCCGGCCATCAACGAGAACTGCACCAACCTATACGCTGAAGAGTCGTACCGTGTTCAAGCTGTAGGTGACAGTAAGTATCGTCTTGATAGCAGGATACATCTCTAGTCGCTAGATTCTGACATTTGCCTTTCACCACACAGTAAACACCTACCCCGGCAGACCTGGAGCGACGTCTTACGTGCTCAGTGCCACCTCAGGCATGGAGGACTCGGTGACCACAATGCCCGACGCAACATGGACCGCTCCCACGCCCACAAGAACTCCCGCTCCGCTGGCGAGTGGTACCCTGAGAGACTGCGCCAGCTACTTCCTCGGAGACGACTGGCAGCTTGACGTCACTGACACAGATTACATCTCACGCTGCCAACTCGTCGCCGAGATCTGGGGAGTCGCGCTGGAAGATCTTGGCATCTGGAACCCAAGTAAGGCGTCACTCAAAGACATTGACAAAGGTGTTTTGCAACAACAAACTTACACTTCAGCAGGTCTTGGTGACGTATCAGCCGCCGGTTGCACATTCAATAGTGGTGTTCGGTACTGCGGTCGATCCTATGTCGATGGAAAGTACGAACAGCCAGGAGGGCTGACCGAGCCTCTTTTCCCGAGCAGGGTAAGTCTACATGGGATGAAAAGCCCAAATCCGAAGCTGTCGAATCCCTCGTTTCACACAAACTATTGCTAACCAGCTGATAGGAGGGCGAGGACGAGGACTGCACTGGCTGGGTCACCGTCGGTGACGGCGGAACACCTACGTGCCAGGATATCCTTGCAACATACGGACTCATCATCACCCAGTTCTACGACATGAACCCCAGCGTTGGAGAAGATTGCTCCGGCATGTGGGCAGGTATGTTTTTTTTTTTCGTTCTATTTAACAGGAGTTATTCAAGATGCACGATGGTTGGGTTTCTATTTCGTCTAGTATTAGTCTTGAACAACCAGGTCCTAGCATACTGGAGTTTCTCATCAGAAATGTCTAAGAGCTAATCCGCGCGTGCTTCAGGTTACTTCTACTGCATCCAAACTCCGGAGCACCAAGGCTCAGGCGGAGATGCCACCACCGCGGTGCCCTCAGGATCAACAACTGCCAGCGCAACAGCAACAGCAGGCCCGACGCCTCCTGCTCCGACTCTAGACGGCCAACCTTCGAACTGCAATAAGTGGCACGTCGTTGCGGGTATGTCTGCACTCTCGAATTAGTCTTGTCTTTCTCTTCCGATCTCCGAACTATTATGCTAACAAGCATCGTCACAGCCGGTGACAACTGCGGCGTCATCGAGTCCGAATACAGCCTCACTCACTCCCAATTCCTCGAGTGGAACCCCGCCGTCTCGGAAGACTGCCTCACGGGCTTCTGGGGCGCGTACGCATACTGCGTCGGCGTCAGCGGCGGGGGCGGCGCCATCACCACGGCCCCACCTGCCACCATGACCTCCGCAGCCCCGGCCGAACCCACCAACGGACCGGTTGCGGCTCCGGAGCCCAACCAGGCCGGCAACGCCATCGCTTCCTGCAACAAGTACGGCCAGGCGCAGTCCGGCGACTGGTGCTCGGCTTTTGCGGACCGTTACGGCCTGGCTTACTCCAACTTTTACGCGTGGAATACGGTTCTCGGGGCTGGTGGCGAAAATTGCGGTGGTTCCTTCTGGGCCACGTACTGGTATTGTATCGGGGTTGCGGCTTAAGAGTTCAACAAAGGTGCATTGGCTAGAAGTTTTGGTTACAGGACGAGTTGCTTTCCTTCTGCGAAAGTTGCACTGCTTTCCACGAGCTCAACTTCCGTAACTACCTATAAACTGATTGGACCATTGTTGTTGAGACCTACTATGCCTCTTTGGTATTATCTCTCGCAAAATGCCATGTTCATTTCGAGCCAAGGATAATTAAATCAAACGCTGAAAAAAGTCGATTGGGGCTGGGTACATTTATGTGCTGGTTTCTGTTGTATATATTATTGCTTGTCTCGATTGTTTCACCTTTTGGCAATTCCTTCGAGGTACCTATGGAAACAACCAGACAGTATCTGATGGGTGGAGTCGATTCCAGACTGGAAACAACGTTCAACTTCTTCCGGCCAGTTGCCACACTTTGACAGTAATATCACTTGCGTATCACAAGTAACTAGTCTAATATCACAGAGTCTTGGATCTTTCTTTGACTGATTCCTCCTGACCGATCTCGTGTAAGGCATTTGCAGCATGCGGCGAGCAGTATAGGAGGAAGAATCGCCTTTTGTACTAACATGTACCGTGTATTTGAATTCATCAATTATAGGCAGAGAGACAGAATATTGGCTAGTTTCGCAGGTCGAAGCTCGGGTAGAGCAAAGAGTCGAGAGCCTGTCGTCTCAGCGGTAAACGGGGTTCCGTATGCTTCAGACACAAGCGCTAAGGCAGCAATAATGTAGATTCCTGAGCTATCTTCGTCTGCCACCGATACATTTGCTTGGTTCACGCCGTGGGGTAGAGCTAGTTTGCCAGCTGAAGATCGGCTGACAGGAACCTCAACGTCCAAGACGGAGATCAATCGGCTACAATATGTTACTTGCCGTCCGTCTCGAGGAGCGGTGCCCACCACTTTAGGTTGTGAAAGCCATCACAACATAAGCAGCCTTTACTCCGTCTAGATGAATCCAGTGAGGGCAGCCTTATCTATGGGAGACTGTGTTCTGCTGACAAAGTCTTGGAAATGGAGGAAACGGAATGGTCTAAAATTAATTCATTCTACCGTGGTGTGATAGCGTCAGGTTGGAAGAAATTTCCTATTCCACCGATGAGGCGTAGTGTGGCCCAAATGTTACCATTTTGTAACAACATGATGAACGTCAGTTAGATGACCACAGCCATAGTCTTTGATCTACAACAGATCCAGACGATTCGTTCGCCATTCTTTTGACTGTACAATATCCCCTAGCTCGGTTTTTGGCTGGATGTATGGCTTGATCGCGGTCCGAGCTTTGGTCCTCTGCTCAAAAGCATATGCCATGCTTATCAAATTCTCCTCGCTGAACGCTGCACCAGCAAAACCAATACCAAAAGGCAAGTTCGGTGCCAAAACATCGAGATTGCCGAGGTCATCCTTCACAATCGGTGTGTCGTCCGGATGCCTTCCGAAAGGAACAGTTATGACCGGCGTGCCTAGAAGCGCCGCGGGACCCAGTACATATCTCGTTGGAAGCACCAGAGCGTCGAGCGAATGGTTCTTCAAAGCTCCCTCGTACCCCAGAGGACCCGCAAAATACTGTCTCTCGGTGTAAAGCTCCCAGAAGAGGGGATCGGTGTTGCGAATGCCTCTGACAAGTTCTCCATCCCACACTGCAGTATTATGTTCCGGATAGCCTTCGCGTGGGTCGCCTTGCGTCCAATTTCGAAGTTCGGCGACCGTGGTGATGTTGTAAGGGTTGTAGGTGAGCTTCGCAAAGTATTCCTCGAGGTTTACGAGGAAGTCTGCACCCATGACCTGGCCAGATAGGCTGAGTAGCTGTGTAACATGGTCACCCAGGGGAAGCCGTATGTTGTCAATAATTTCAGCTCCGGCAGATCTCAGAGTTTCTACCGCAGAGTCGAAGAGGGAGATGGAGTAGTTGGTATTCGGCCAAGGTGCGTCTTTGAACAGATGCCTCGGGATACCAATTCGTTTCCCCTGGAGACCTGAGTCAACACAAGCTGCGGCGTAGTTTGGCGTCTCCGTGAACGGTATCGCTGAAGTGTAGTTATCTCGGGGATCCGGGCCTGCGATAGCTGCTAGTAAATGCGCGGCATCTTTCACCGTACGAGCCATCGGACCGACTACATCCTGATGCTCAGTAATCGGTATGACGAGGTGCCGTGAGACGAGACCGAGAGTAGGTTTGATCCCCACGAGATTGGAGACATCGCAAGGCATAGTGATAGATCCCAGTGTCTCCGTGCCAAGTGAAGCCCACGCGAGACCGATTGAAGATGCGATTCCACTTCCTGAGGAGGACCCCGACGGGTCTTGGTTTGGATAAAACGCCCCGATCGGCTGGTTCCCTCGGGCAGACCATCCAGCGCTGGAGTTGGTACCCCGAAAAGTCGCCCATTGGTCCATGGTGGTCTTACCAAGGATAACGGCACCGGCTCTGCGGAGCTTGTCCGCCACGTTACTGTCTTCGCCAACTTTCGCTCCAACGAGCGCGAAAGAGCCAGCAGTGTTATTCATCTTGTCGCCGGTCGCAATGTTGTCCTTCAGGAGCACTGGGATGCCGTGTAGATGCCCAAGAAGAGGCTCACCTTGCTTTCGCGCTTGGTCTAGAGAAGCAGCAATGGAGACTGCGTCAGGGTTGATCTCGGCGATGGCGTGCAGGTCATCGTTCAACTCGTCAATGCGAGCAATGTAGGCATTCACCAAGTCAACGCTAGTGAAGAGACCGCTATCGAGCCCTTGCTGTAGATCATCTAGAGTTGCGTCTAGAAGGGGCGGAAAACTGGCAGTTGAAGGCCGTCGGTAGAATGAAGCTGCATACACCGAACATAAAAGGCGTGAGACGGCCTTGGCAAACCAAGATGACGCCATGTTGCTGGTGTTATTCAAGTACAGCTGATATGAGATTTGTTCTCATGAATCACCAATGCACCACAAAGTCGGAGAATTCTTCGTGGCGCAGACGTAGCCGTGATGTCCATGGACGCGTTCTTTTGGGCGAACACCGGCCCTAAATAGGTTCGGAGGATTGCAACCCCGGTCAGGAATCTCGTGTCATCCAGTCTGGGGATTCGTGCGATTGGTGGGGTATTTGTCTAATTTGCATATGAATATATTGTATGGCTGCCTCATCAGGCTAGAGTGTTGAACAGATGAATCTCGATAATTTACTTGAGATCAAAATGCAACTGGAGCCGGCGAACGGCACTCGGTATGCATGTTTCGGAGGAAACTCGGGACTTAATGGAGCTATTCTCGGACCGGCCCGGATTTGCGGCAACGGTCCCGGCGCTTTGACCGGCAGCAACCCGGCTTGCGCGCACTCACCGCCTTTCACCGGATGATATTGGGACAGCTGTGATCGTTCATGATTTCATGAGTCTCCTCTATATAAGCTATAAACGCCCCGCTGGCCAAGTGGAGTCAGCGGTTAGCTCCACGGCGTATTCGCTGGCAATTGCTGAGCGGCTGGATGCGCTCGATTACGTCCATTCTGGGATGGTAAGCAAGTCCAACAACGCATTCGTACGGACCTTGTGTCGTCTTTCATTTAAAATATGACGATTCTCAATTTCAGATGCGTCCCGATGACTGATACCCGAGAGCTAGCCGCCGCTTCCATCCCCTATCTTACCAGTAAGAAGAGGGAGTGGTGTGGTGGAAGATGGCTTAGCTGCATGTGGGATATGTTAAAACTGATCACTATGGAAAAAAGAGATTGTGGAGAGTGATATGTTGAAGTGCAAGTGCGTAAGCTTGTAAGATAAATTGAAGTCCAGTTGGATGTTGGTATTTGAGGGAAGCATGAAACAATAAGATGCCGCCTTTGCTCCATCTAGATGATGTCAGTAAGGGCAATACTTGAACTGTCCCGCAGTCATACGACATTACTGTATAGTCTACATTGCAATGCAAAATCATCACATACGACCATACCCACTGGAGAACTCGGGATCCCGTCCGCTCTCCCATAGATAAGCCAGTGAGGGCCGGATTAGTAGTTGGGTCGGTGACGACCAGCGAATACCTGGTGTTGTATGTTTTTTATGTTTTCAACATACCGTCTTGCATCGGTGCGCCTGGTTTGCCTTCGTAGACTTGGGCTTCCATCTCCGCGAGAATATCAATGTATTTTGATGCTCACCAGAAGGATACAGTGGCAATGGCTGAAATTGTGGAATATCCTGAACCTTTAGGGATGCAAGGATCACGCAGCTGTGAACCGACGCCATCGATTAGACAACTGCAGCCACTGCCCCGCCGTGAGAGTAGAGACAACACTGCTCCAAGTGACCGCATATGTACTTGTCGCATCTCTCTCCCCCCCAACCAGGCTGTTCCCGTCTCTGGCCAGCCGGAGGCCTCATTTTATGAGCTTATATTGCGGAACCGTCAGATTTCTCTAAAAATAACGTCCCCTCTAGCTACCTTCTGGAACTTTTAGCTAGTACTTTTTATCTATTTTGACATTGATTTCGCTATGGACAAGGTCTGGTTTAAGCTCTGCTAAACTGACTGCCTGCTGCTGAGACTAGAAGCGATGGGCATGGGGATTGAGACTGGCTTGCTGGATCTAGGCCACTTTGTCCTAGATCTGCGCTGGCTTGACTTCCCTATTAACTGCGGTGAAATTGAGCCTTTCCTGTGGAGTATGCCTGTGTTCTCTACAGCCTCTATCTTGTTTTGGTGGGGGGATACGTAGGCTTCTGAATATGGCGGCGTCCTGGGCGGAGGGGCCCCTGTGCTTGCTGCTGCGGGAGTACTTGTTACTGCTAAAGCTGATGTTAGCTTTATTCTCTGGTCCTCTGTCTTTAACTACGAGGCTTATAAGAGGCTTGATACCTACGTGGTGTAGGTGAACTAGACCTATGTTGCTGACTGCCTGGAGGGGGAGAAGCTTGCTTAGTATAAAAAGGATTACGCGACCTTGGGGGTGTGGTCTATGTTTATTATAACTGGGCTGAAGATTGCCTGCGCGGGTTTGACGTTGAGCTCTTCTTCTTGTGGCGTGGAAATTGGTATTGGGCTTGAAGCCTGAGCTCTATATTTCTTGTTATTTCCCTTTGCTTGCCAAGTAGTATCTTAGCGTTTTATATAAATTGACCAACAACCATTGTTGTAGAGAACAATAGGGTCATGTGACTTTTAAGTGATCCACCCCGTTGCTTCCAATTCCTTGTCTCTAGGCCGATTGACAACATATTTCTAGTGACGAGCAATCAGTTTCTCTGATCGACTGAGACTTCCGGAATACACTTGTCCCTTGCCTTGTCCTTGAAGTGGACTAGCTTGCATAATACTGGACCCTACCATATCCTATGATTACAAGGCATTGCTGAACGACATCGATAAATGTTAGGGGGATCTTGGTCTTTATTTGCTTTCCAGGTCGAGAATGATTGCAAATAGAACTGTGGTTGTGATCACAATCTCTCAGCCATGCGCTGATCAAACCGAGGTTGACTTGCTACCCCCCTGTGTTATAAACAGGTCCATGTCTGTCGCCCAGCAAGGTTTGGAGCGAGACTGCGGTGTCTGCTTCCCGTCCTTGTCGAAGCGCCTGGCGAAAACTGTCACCCGTGAGCAGTCTCAACTCTCCGGTATGATAGACGCCACATTTGATTCTCAGAACGCTTTCTCCAGTTGAGGGCTTTCCTGAACCCATGGTAACCCCCCTTGCCTCTTCATCCGATTGCTCGAAGCCCGAGTGAAGCTCCCCCTTGTCTGTCGTGATGATTGAAGCCGCCAAGCTGCAAATGGCGCACTCCCCCCTCTGCAATACAAAATCATTTTCAAATCGCCGAGAATTGGTACCATGTATCTGCCTGCATTGAGTTCAAATCCTTGGCCCATTGGTTGTAGCGGCTTCGTTAGTTGGCGGCACCAATGACACAGCCTCGGGTTTGGATGCCTTCCCTCTGATCGACCCTTTTCCAGGGATTACCTCTCCATTCGCTCCTCTCTGGCGAAGAATTCGGCGGGAGATACTGACCCGTCTTCGTACCCCAGCACGTGTCGAACTAGATCCCAAAAGTCAAAGGGAATGTGATTGATCTCAGGATCTGTTGCCAACTTGCGCAGACCGAATTCAGCCTTATATTCGGATGGGCGTCTGAGCAGACTCTCCAGGAATTCTACGTCCCCGATTGTCCTTTCGCTTTTGACTCTCATCGTTTCGGATTCGATATCGCCGTCAGAAAGTATGATATCAGCCTCTGCGGCAGCGGCTAGGACTCCTAATCGTTTTCCGTTCTGCAAATAGATCGTTTCCAGTGCCGAGGGACCGTATTGCTTACTGTTCAAATCAAAACAGGACAGGAACGCCCCCATCAACTCTTCCTCAGTCAGTTGATGCATAGGGCTGTTGACTGGTGCGCCAGCCAGCTTCTTCAAGCAGCTGGTGAACCTCCACATTTCGTTCTCATGCACTTCTTGTTTTCCGAAGCTCGACCTTATTTTCGCATTGTAGCCGGCAATTATTGACGCGGTATATTCGGACAAAGAGATGAGATCTTCCACCGGGTTAGATAAGACGTAACGCTGAGATAGAAGGTGCGTGAAGACAAGCTGTGATCGCTCCTTATCCTGGTATCCTTCCGGCATTCGTGGAAATGCAGCCCGGGACATCTCGATGGCACTGTCGACCGCCTCGATCGATTGCTTGGCAAACGCGCATTGTTGAATCCGTCGAAGGTGTTTCAGGAGATCTTGACCCCGCGAGCTGTGGATGACTGGAGTCGACTCAAATAACAAGAGTATTGGACCACGCTATCCATGTCTTGAAGGCTTTGCATGTACTCGTGACTTGTCGTATAAAGGTCGATAAGTTGCCGGAGGAATTCCCTCCAAGCGCCGTCTTCCTAGGCGCAGCTTTCGAAGCCCATCTTGAAATGGATCAGGGCCTCGTCTAGATCTTCCACTGAGCATGTCTTATCGAACCTTGCAATGGCAACCGCACCAAGCTGACCGATGGCGACATTGCGAATCTTTGACCCAGGATCTATTGAAGATAGCAACTCTTGCAGTAGTTGTTGTGTTTCTTCCTCGTCTTCTTGCCCCCCTCGTTTCATGTATCGAATGTGGAGTGAGGAAGCAAGGCTATTGAGCGCTAGAAAATATGGCTCGGATCCTTTCGTGGTCTCCCCAAGGATCTCGCGATCGCACGCAATGGGCTCTTCAATATCTCGCGGCATGCCCCTCAGCCTGAACCGGAAAACGAGAACATACCCCAGATTTGTCAGAACTTAGAGGTACGCCCCCAGGTGATGCTTGTCAGGTGCCAGAGGTAGGGGGCACCAGGGGACCACCAGCTGTAGGGCCACAACCAGGAAAACTATTATCTAAGGGTTACACAAAAGCAGAGTTTATAGGAACAAAAGAATTAAGAGAAGGTAAATTAGAAAATAGTTATAATTAACCCCTAACTATACTATTTATAGACTTTTTTACTTAGTACTATAATACTTTTAATATATTTTAATCTTTACTTATCCTTAGGTATACTAACTATTAAAGCTATAATATTACCTTTTAATACTTAAGCTACTACTTAGTAAAGTATAAGTATTACCTTTAGGTAACTAACTTTAGACAGTAGTAACACCTAGGCATAGATAGAAAATAAAGGCCTACTAGTATAATAATAGCTCTAAAGTAACTTTAAAAAAATAATAAAAAAGAAGCTTAAGTACTTTTTAAAGAAGTAAGTAAAAAAAGCTAAAAAAAAAAAAATAGTTAACTAAATTTTAGCTTTAATAAATAAGGCCTTTATTAAAGAGGTATATAATACACTAGGCTTAGCTACTACTCTTTAGCTAAAGTATAAGTACTACTATATTAATATACTATTAAAGTAGTTACCTTTAATCTAATATAAAAGAAGTATATAAAATAACCTCTAGGACTTTTTATTTAAGCTAAGGGAATAATTTAAAGTTATAAAAAAAGAATTTAAGAATAACTAAAGTAAAGTATAGTACACTAGCTTTATACTAGAGAGTAACCTAGTGTATAAGTAGTAAAAGTATATTAAAGCCTACTATAATAGCTAAATAAAAGAAGTAACTTAGAAAGTAATAGAGACCTAGTTAAAGAATAATATTACTAACACTAATATATAGGCCTTTAGTATAGTAGTAAAGCTTAATAATATAAAGTAAAAAGTTAACTAGTTATACTAGTAATTTATTAATAAGTATAAAATTATTAAAGTAAAGTACTTTAACTTATAAGCTAAAAGGTAATAGGTAGTCTATATACTTAATTAGTTATTACTTAATCTAAAGAGCTATATATTAGCCTAAGGGATACTAGAGATATAATAAGCCTTTAATAATACTATATAATAGGCTAAAACACTAGCTAAAGCCTATACTAAAAATAAACTAGTAGACTAGTAGAGGTAAAATTAAGAGTAAAAGGACTAGTAGGCCCTAGCTATACTACTAAGTCTTAATATAAGGGTCCTTATAATAAAGCCTTAGTCTATATACTCTATATTTATACTTATAATAACCTAGGGTATATTAATACTAATGCTAAAGGCCCTAAAGGTAAAAAAGAAAAAAGATAACTATTTACTTTTAACTAGGCTATAGTACTTTTTAACTTACTTTAACTATAGTAAGCTAAGGTATTTATTAACTAGTTATACTAAAGAGAAGTACTATAAGTATAGTTAGCCTAAATACTTAGGTAAATAGTATATAATAAAAGTAATAAAAGTTAATACTATTTAATTACCTTAAGAAAAAAGGCTATACTACTAATTTAAAGTAGACTTTTATACTAAGATAAATAATATATAAAGAAAAAAAAAAGTATTAATTAACCTAAGGGTAAATAAAAACCTTATATACTAAAGAATATTATATATAAAAAGGCTACTAGTAGTCTATAGGAAAAGACTACTACTATAGAGTATATAGGAAGGTAAAGCCTTAGACTATAGTTTAAAGAAAATAGTATTAAAAGTAAAGAATAATATTAGAATATTAAGGATATAAAGCTATACTTTATAAGTAAGTAATATAAAGAAATATAATATTATTCTAGGGATCCCTTAAGAGTAAGTAGTAAGGCTTAACCTTAAGTAAAAAATAATTAGCTAGACTTATCTACTAGATAAAGACTATATTTAACTTATATAAGGCTAAAGAGTAGTTAGAAAAGCCCTAAAAGATACTAAGGTAGTCCTTATAGACCTCTTTATAATCTAACACCTAGGGTATAGGACACTAGAGGGGGCACTAAAGATACTTACTTATATACTAAAGAAAGACAAAGGGGCTAGTAAGGCTAGTAATATAAAGGCTATAATACTAAAGGAATATAGAAAATAGGCCTATATATTTAATATAGACCTAGTAATAAAGCTAGTAAAGGATAATATATAGATATATATAATAGAATTAGAACTAGGTATAGTACTACTGTTTAGCTTTATTTACTTACTAGTAAAAAAGAAGCTAGAGAAGCTAAGGAAGTATATTAATAAATCCTTAGCTAAAGGCTAAATATAGCCTTTAAAGTTACTAGTAAAAGTACTAATCTTATTTATACTTAAGAAAAAAGGTAAGCTTTACTTCTATATTAACTACTATAGGCTTAATAAGATTACTATTAAGAACTAAGTACTACTACTTTTAATAAAAAAAATCCTAGACTATTTAGTAAAAGTAATATAATTTATAAAGCTAGACCTTAAGGATATATACTACTAGGTAAAGATCTATAGTAAAGATAAATAAAAGATAGCCTTTTATACTTACTATAAATACTATAAGTATTAAGTTATACCTTTTAGGCTAGTTAATATACTTATAATATTCTAATCCTATATTAATAATACTTTAGTAAGTCTAGTAGATATTATCTATATTATTTATCTAGATAATATCTTAATCTTTATAGAGGACAAGAAAAGCTATATAGAGGTAGTAAAGATAGTACTAAGCTAGTTAAATACTATAAGGCTATACACTAACCCTAAGAAGTACTTCTTTTATACTAAGTCTATTAGCTTCCTAGGTTTTATAGTATTTAATAAAGGTATTTTAATAGAATAAGAGAAAATAAAGGTAATTACCTAGTAGCTACTATCTACTAGTGTACAAGAGATATAGACCTTCTTAAGGTTTATAAATTTTTATAAGTAGTTTATTAAGAACTATTCTAAGGTATATTTTCTTTTTATTAACTAACTATTTACTAAAGTAGTAAAAGAATAGGTAATTATAAAAGAAGCTAAAAAAGTCTTTTATAAGATCTATACTATATTTACCTATACTTTTATTTTATAGTATTTTAATCTTATATTACTTATTTAAGTTAAAATAAATATATTTAACTTTATAATAAAAGTAGTACTAAGTTAGCTTTATAAGAGAGCCTAGTACCTTATAGCTTATATATTATAAAAACTCTAGAGAGTAAAGTTATACTATAGAGTACTAGAGGCTAAGTTACTTATAATTTAAGAAGTAGCTATATATTAGAGGCACTATCTCTTATACACCTAGTACTATATTATATTCCTAATAGACTACCTAAGGTACTATTACTTAGTAGCTAAGCTATAACTTAATAGCTACTAAGCTAGGTTACTATAAGACCTTTTATTATTTAATTTTAAAATTAAATATTACTTAAGTAAAAATAATATAGTAAATAGACTTTTATAAAGGCTAGACTACTAGCTTAGTAAAAAAAAAGAAAAAAAAGTATAAAGTATATTCTTAGAGAACTTTCTTAGTAGGTTTAAAAAGAAGGTAGTAGTAATTAAGTATAGTAGACTACTAGGTTAAGATATAGTAGCCTTAGAGGAACTTACTACTGCCCTAAAAAAGGAAGTTACTATAGTATAACTAAAGGACAAGTAGATTTAGTCTAAAAAGTAGTAATAACTAAGGAGTTACTAAGCTAAAGAGAAAAATAAGTTACTTTAATACTAAGGTAAGCTTATAGTACTAGAGGGATATATAATAAGAATAAGGTTACTTATAGTATTTTATAATAAACTATTAGGGGGGCACCTAGAGGTAACCTAAATAATAAAATATATAAGATAAATATTCTTTTAGAAATTAATAAAAAAAGATATTAAAAAGTATATTAATATATATACTACTTACTAATATATAAAACTAAGGCACTATTTACCTTATAAAAAACTAGCTTTTTTTTTACTACTTAACTAACTATAAAAGTAAGTTACTATAAACTTTATTACTAAGCTACTAAAGTTAAAAAGATTTAATAGTAAAGTATATAATAGTATCTTAGTTATAGTTAATAAGCTTATAAAGTATACTATTTACTTACCTACTAAAAAAACCTTAATAGTAGATTAGCTAGTAACCCTCTTAGTAAATAAAGTATTCTTTTATTTTAGACTCTTAACTTTAATAATATTAGATTATAGTTCTTTATTTATAAGTTACTTTTAGGTAATAGTATATTACTAGCTAGCTATTAAATAGAAGCTTAGTATAGCCTATTACCTTTAAACTAATAAATAAATAAAGAGGTAAAACTAAAATATTAAATACTACCTTTAAGCCTTTTATAATATTAAGTAAAATAACTAAGTAAAATAGTTACCTATAGCTAAATTTATTTATAATAGTTTATAGTATAGTATAACTAAGGTTACACTAGTAAAAGCACTAATAGGCTATATACTATAGAGTATATATAATATATACTTAGTAAAAGTAAGACTAATAAAGGTCCCTAGGGCCTATAAGAGAGTAAAGTAACTATAGAGCTAGAGAACTATAATTAGTAAAATATTAAAAGTAGTTAATTAGGCCTATAAAAAGTAGTATAACACTAAGAGGTCTAATATAGATTTTAAGGTTAAAAAAAAGGTCTTTTTATTAACTAAGTTTATTAAGTAAAAAAGACTATCTAAGAAGCTATTAAATAAGTACCTTAGCCTCTTTATAGTAAAGTAGGTAGTTAATAGGGGTAAGGCCTATAAAATAAATATAAGTACTAGATATAGAATCTATAATATCTTCTTTTTATCTTAGCTAAAGAAGTTCTAAGGATTACTAGTAAAGCCTTAACTAATACTAATTAAAGAAGAAAAAGAAAATATATATAAGGTAAATTAAATTATAGCCTATAAAAGGCTATAGTAAAATTAGTAGTACTTTATTAAGTAAAAAAGGTATAGTAAAAAAAAAAACTCTTAAAAACCTTAGAAGAATATTATAAAAGAATTATAATATAACTATAAGTAAAAGGTTACTAAGAGAAAATAAAAGTATAACTAAGTAAAGTAAAAATTAGCCTAAGGATAACTAAATTAAAGATTTAATTATTATAGTACTAAAGCTAAAGAATATAAGTAGCCTAAAGGCTAAGTATTTAAAAAGTATAATAAGTAAAAAAAAATAGACTAAAAAAAAGGCTAAAGGGGCACTAAAGGTAATAGTAGTAAAGCCTACTTACTACTTTACTTATTATCCTTTAAATTACTATTACTAATATTTTTATTATTATTATTATTATTATTATAAGTAAAAAATATAAAGAATATAAAAGTACTACTTTTATTTTTACTAGCCTTAAAGTTAAGCTTATTAGTATACTAAAGAGAAGTTAGTAACTAGTATAAAAAGTACTAAGGGAGTACTAGAGGAGTATTAAGAAGAACACTTATAACCTAGAAGTAGGTCTAGGACTACTTTAAAAAGAGAGTAGTCTAAGCTATAATAGTAGTAGTCTACTCCTAGAGGGTAATAGTCTAGGCCTTAAAGGCTATAGTAGTAACCTTAGTAGTATAAAGTATAAACTTAGCTAGCTTAACTTAGTAGTAAAAGAAGTTAGTAGTAGTCTTAAAGGCTATAATATAACGCTAGTAAAAAAGCTACTTCTTCTCTTTAGCCTTAGCCTTATACTTAGTATTAAAGGCCTTAGTTAAGTTAACTTAGTACTAAAGTACTTTCTTAGTTATAACTTAGGCCTTATTAATCTTATCCTAGGCTAATATTAGTATAAGAGGTTACTAAGGAGACACTAAAGGAAGTAAATATATAGTAATACTATAGTAAATATAAGTAGACTTAGTAAAATAGTTTATAGCTTTAAAGAGGTAGTATAGCTTAATACTAGCTATAGTAGTAGTATAAATAGCTTATTTAAAAGGTTAATAGCTACTAGAAGTTATAAAAATAATAAAAGTAAAAGTAAATATACTAAGATATAAGGCTTACTATATATAGTAATATAATAAGTATACTTATTACTAGTAGCTAAAATATATTAGCTAAAGTACTAAAAAGAGAATACTAAAGAAGTACTAGGTATAAGGAGAAGTATATAGGTAGTCTTTATATAGTAAAAAAAAGTAATAGTATAAATATTTAATATACTAGGACACTAGTTAGTTATTTAGTAAATATAGTAGTTATAAGGTATATTATAAATAAGCTTATTTTTTTTAATATAGGTATAAGGGTAATAAAAGGTAAATAAAGTAAAAAAAAGTACTAAAAGGCTAATAAAACTACTTTAGTTAGTAAAACTAGTAGTAGTAAAGCTAATAGTAGTAGTAGTAGTATTATTAATAAAAGTATTAGTAAAAGTAAAAAAAGATATAGTAGTAGTAAAAAAGCTAGTGCTAATACTAGTACTATTATTATTACTATTACTACTAAGTAGTAGTAGTAATAGTAGTAATAGTAGTAAAATAAAAAAAATAAAAAATAATAATAAAGTAAAGCTATTAAAAAAAAAAAAAATTAAAAGTAAAAAAATTAAAAAAAAAGTAAAGCTAAAAAAGTTACTTAATTAGGCTAAGTAAAAATAATAAAGTAAGTTATAATAGTATCTTAAGCTTATAAAGTAAAAAAAAAATAGTAAAAAAAAAAAAAAAAATAAGACCTAAGAGGTTACTAGTATAGCCTACTAAAAGGTAAAATAAAGGCTTTTTTTTATTATAAAAGTAGTATAACTTAAGGCTTAGGCTATAAAAAAATAAAAGTAATAAAAAAAATAACTATATAATAAAGGCCTACTAAAAGTATATAGTACTTAAAAAAGTATTATAGTTAAAAAAATAAAAAAGTAATAAAAGTATTATAAGTAAATAAAGTATTTTTATTATAAAGTAAGTAACCTTTAGTAAAGCTAGTTAAATAATAAAGGCTTATAACTTAGCTAAAAATAACTATAACCTTAAAAAAATAATAGTCTTAGCCTAGTTAAACTATAATAGCTATAAAAGTAAAATTAAAAATAATTAGCTAGCTAAAAAGATAACTATTTACCTAGTAACTTACTAAGCCTAGAAGTATTCCTAGATACCTCTAAAATACTAGCTAATAGTAAAGCCCTAGAGGCCTACTAAAGTACTACTTAAGGTCCTAAGGACAAGACCTTAAGGGGAGGGGATTATGTTAGGTGCTAAAGGTAGAGGGCACTAGGGGACTACTAGCTATAAGGCTATAACTAAGAAAACTATTATCTAAGGGTTATATAAAAGCAGAGTTTATAGGAACAGGAGAATTAGGAGAAGGTAGATCAGAAAATAGTTATAATTAACCTTTAACTACGCTATTTATAGACTCCTCTACTTAGTACTATAACACCTCTAACAATGCTCACAGAGGCTGTACGCCACAGCTAGCTCCTTCGCTTAGCGCCTATAGAATACAGCAAGATTCAACGAGTGTTGGGAATCTCTCTGACGGTACAACTTGAACTTGGCCTTGGAGAGCTCACGAAGGAACTTTTGTCGATCACAGGAGTCGTCTGACATTCGGCGGAGAATGGTTTCCACGTGTTGTATCGCGTCGTCTATGGCTTGTTGGTCTGAGAATGCCGTGCCAACTTGAATGCAGAACTTGGCAAGGTCGGCTCTCATTTCTATTTCCTTATCAACAGGCACTGTACCGCGGGCCAAAGTTTCGGTGAACATTGCTTGTGATCTTGCCAGGTTCGACAGGATCTCCTCGCTTTCCATGGTCTCTGGTGAATCTTCGGGCATGTTTGCGGCAATTGACTGGTGGATTTCAGGTTAGCGCTGGAATGAGCCGTGTCATAGAACAGGCCGGGTGATTTGACGCGCTGGATTCTGGAATATAACAAGCTTCTCAGTTGGCGACGCTCTACCCCCAAGCACCAGGTCCGACAGGGGTTTTGGGTTGCCTTACCTGGTGTACCTAGGTAGGCAGAATAAGGCGACTCACTGCGGACAATAAGGCTACCAGTAGCAGTTTGTGACGTGTACTGGAGGAGGGGGAGATACGTCCATCGCGGCGGCGAAGCGAGTTCCGTTGGTTACAGGACCATTTCGGTCAGGCTATGCCTGCTTGCCAGCACTGACACTGCTCTGCCGTCTCCTTGAGCCAACTTTCTAGGTGTTGAATGTGTTGTTTTAGAGCGCCAGGTGCTGAATATCATCGTCCGATTATGCGAATTAGCATGCATGCATGTCTGGCGGCGAACTCCCACAACGAAATCCCCAATGACTGGTTGGTGGTCCTCTCAAAAAGTGCTGCAGTCTTTCTGTTGACTCTGGTTTTTTCCGCCCGTCCTACGAGAAAACCCTGCTGTCGAGAATCATCGCTAGTTGTGTCGTCTCTCGAGATTGTGTAATGCATGGAAACTGCCTACAAAGCGTCCAAAGGTCGGCAGCCTTGGTGTGGTTTCCGGAGTTGGTAGCATCCCTTAGACGCTTCTCAAGCTCAGCGAGCATCGTCTTGGCCGAGTGGATCTCCTCACGTCTCTTTGTCTCGTTGAGGATAGTTTCTGACCGGGTCTTGGTTTGCGCGGAAAGTGCCCAGCGATCCCAATCCACGTGTCGAGGTCATGGAGCAACCGAAGCCTCGTTGACAGCGCAGGAGATGAAGAGGCTTTGATCTGTGTAACGTGTTTTGGGCCTGGTCCGGAATTTAGTAGCACCTGCACTTTAGATACGCAAACAAGACGTGTGTTGTGATCCGAGACGGTCAAGTAGCATCTGCTTTGGGTGAGACTGTGTCGTGATCACGCAAGAGAGAAGGCTGCGACATGCGGGGAGGGGCAGGCGGTGTTGATGAACAGACTGACCGGAAAATGCTGGGAAATCCTGCAATGCATCAACGCATGTCCAGCTTGTCCTGCGGCACATAAACTAATACGGTGTTCTACAGATGATCTAATGTTAGGCCGAGAGACTAGTAACTTTTATTTGTCTACGCTTGGCAGCGGCCACCGGCGTCTGCCTACTCTTCTCAGCAACTGCCTACTATTACTGGTATATACTTGAGTTAGGTAATATGAAAGAAATATAAAAGAGGGATCTAGGAACACGCCTTACTCTTTTACTAGCACTACAGTGTCTAGATAAGCTCTGAAACGTTAAAAACTGAACTACCTAACGGCAACTCTACCGCCTAGGTTAGATCCTAATCGGCCTCATCATGCTCCGCTCCGTCCGTTTTAAGGAGGGGCGCTCTCCAGTTTAGGTTGTTGGAGCCATTCCAAAAGAGGCCCTCTTTGCTTCATCTAGATGATACAAGTAAGAGCCAGATTAGTAGTTGGGTCAGTAACGACCAATCAATACCTGGTGTTGTATGTACAATCATTTTTCACACTTTTTATTAATTGTAGCTCTCACTCTGCTCCCTTTTCTTCAAGCAGACTTGTCTGAACTATCTTCTTTCCTGTTGACTTTTAGATTCTGTTCCGTCAGCTGTGTCCTACAGACAGTGTTGGCTTCTCAAGTATAAGGGGAAGCAGTGAGGGAAGGCTTGTCTTGAAGAGCGGAATTCCTGGCTGACAACCAGGTTTCTGCAAATTCACATCTTTTCAAGTATCCAAGCCAAAAGGTCTCTCAGTTGATGATTTCCCCGGTCTCTTGACTGATGTCTTGCGAAGCCTGATCCGCCCATCCTCTTTCATCTGACGTAGCGCCGGCCGTCTGAATTACCTGTCGTTCGTCATATTCGACGACACCTGGCATCTTATCTGCCTGTTACAATGAGCCTGGCTGGGTTGAGTCTGGGACGAAGTCAATAAAGAGATGGGCCCAGAGAAAACGGGTTGTTCACAAGTTATTGAGCACCAAATCCACCCTGGTTGCGTCTTGACACCATGAGTGCAACATCTTCGACGTCATGGCAGTAAATCGCCCGCTAGACAGTCTCTTTAGCTCGGGCGAGGTCCTCTTTTGCCTCAGCTACTGCATCGCCAGCGGCAAAAAAAACTCTGTCCTTGGCGCGGTCAGTGGCGATACGTGCATTTAGCCCTCAGCCTAGACATTAGGGTGGTAGTTAGTAGTGATGTCTTGTTGGGAATTGGGAAGACAGAAAAGCCAGCGTGGTGAGGTATAAGGTCTACTGCCGCAAGTATCGCCTTTCTTGAAGATATCTCTGTAATCTTGCGGGGCAAGTAGGGTCAATGATCACCGAGACGATTTCATGCTCATCTCCCGAGCATTTCTAGCACCCGCAGCTACGTCTCGATTGTAACAAGTGTTAACCCCAGATTGGCTGTAGCTTCCGCAGCTGACACTCGCGGGCGCCTATACGTTTATCTCGGAAGGACGGATGAAGGGTGGCCGGCTCGGTTCAAAAAGCAGCAAAGCTCCGGCTCACATCTATTTCTGATGGGGAGGCTTGGTAAATCGAAGACAGCTTCAGCATACGTCTACGTCCTCCTTTTCGTCCTCTTTGACGGCCGCCGAGGCGCTCGCGTGTAATAGCCATGTCCTAGTGAAGTGAGACACATTGAATACCAATCTAGACCACATTCCTCATCACTCAAACGTGTCTGAAAATGAGTTTTTGTATTCTTAGGTGCCAAACGAGAACGGGTAGTAGACACACTGCTTTTTTCGCTGGTTCATCATCATATCCTTCCCGAAATCAACCAGTACCTTCCTCATTAGAGCGCTAAGCGCCATCAGAGCGAACGCTGGCTAAGATGTATCATTTTTTGTTCCTCTTCGCCTTTTTTGCCCATGCATAATAATGCCATGTGCGGTAATCTATGTTCCGTGTAACTTCTGGTTGAGACCCAGCAAGAGTTGCTTCACCGAGTTCATCAAATGCGACTCGATCCCGTCAAAGCCCGCCGCTGGCGATCCCGATGAGCTGGCCTCCGCGGGTGGCGGCACGATGCTCGCGTCTGCCAGGCCCAGTACCCGGTCAATGGCAGACAGAGTGACTGCTTCGGCTTTGCCCTCGCCAATCCTGACCTTGAGGGCGTTCGACGAGACATTCTTGAAGCCGACCAGCGCGTTGAAGACCTTGGGGTCAAAAATGTTACTGGGCCCAGTCGGAGTTGGCGTGCCTCCCGAGCCGGGTGTATTGCTTCGCGTAGAGAAGCCGTCCAAGAGCTTCTGTATGCCCTTCATGCAGATATCCTCCATCGTCTGGTTTTCTGTGGCCGTGCTCTTGAGCCCCAGACAGCGGTTGAGGGCGGACATGACGATGGCTTCGGCCTTGGGGTTCTTGGCCTTCTTTAGGTTTTCAATGAGGCCGTTCTTCAGGCCATTGACAGCGGATAACAGCCTGGGCTGAATGACATGGCGGGGTTCGGCTTGCGCTGGCGGTGTGGGGGTAGGTCGGGCTTGCTGTGGTGCAGCAGCGGGTATCTGTGGTGTTCGTGCTCCAGGGGTGGCGGCCGGAGCAGGTTGTGATGTTGGCGGCGGTGCTGATGCCGAGGCGGCGGCGCCGTCTTCGGTCTTGACGGCCGGGTGAGTAGGAGGCGGTCTTGGCGCATATGGTGAACTGTAGGTAGACGGCTGTCCTGCGACGCCTTGAGGCCGAGCAATGGCGGCAGCAACCCCGTAGCCAGGGAGCGTTGCTGGCGCAACTGGTTGGGAGGCCACTGGTGGCGCAGGCTGACCAGGGGTCGGCGTCGCGCCTGGTGGCGAGTACTGGGGCGTTCTCGCTACTGCTTGCGCTTGTTGCCCGGCGTAGGCTTGCGCGTGGTAATTGTGCGGCAGGTGTTGGTAGCCAGGAGGCATATGGCCTTGCTGCTGCTGGGCGTACTGAGTGTACATCGGGTGGTTGTAGTGACCGTAGCCCGCACTCACGGATCGATCTGGCGAGGAGGCCTTGCGTTTCTTGCCGGCATCGAGCTCGACGCCGGGCACTCTCGACCACAAGCCTGTCGTGTCGTCCTTCTTGAAGGCCTCGTTCCCAATGAGGTTGTGCCGTACACTGGATTCCCAGCCCTTGGTCTCTGTATGGAAGTAGAACCAGGGGTATCTTTGAGTAATCCGTTTGTAAATCTGTTTGAGCGTGAGGCCATCGGGCCCTGCTGCAGTGAGCGTCTCGTCGATGAGTACTCCATAGTTCTTGTTTGGCTTCTGCAGCTGTTCCTCGGTGTAATCCTCGATCTTGAGTTCCAGGGGCGGCGACTTGGGCCGGACCTTCTTGTCCTTCTTCTCCTTGGCCCGCCTTTCGGCGTCTGATCCTTCTGCGCCATCTTCGCCCTTGGGCTTCCGAGGTTTATACTTGCGCTTCTCTGGCCGATCGCCCCCTTCTTCCGGTAAGGGATGTTTCCGTGGGCGCCCGACCTTTCTCTTAATGGGAGGCTCTCCTGGAGGCGGCTGTGGCAATGTCTTCTTCGCCATCTCCTGCTGTGCCTTTTTGAGCAGCCGTTGCTCGCGCTTGGACATGAAGCCGTTCTTCGGTGGCCTGCCAGGCCCTCGCTTCTTGTTGGGGTAGCCCAACGGTACTCCTGCTCCCATCAAAAGATGCGCCATTTCTTGCTCCTCTGATTTGACTTCAGTGGTTGGTTGGATATTCTCTGCTCCCTCGCCATACTCATGGTGCGCTTCTCCCTCAGCATCAGCGTCATCAGCATCGGCATCGGCATCAGCCTCTGCTGCTTCAGCTGCCTCGGCCGCCTCAGCTGCAGCCTCGACCGCTTCAGCTTCGGCCGCCTCTGCCTCGTCTGCTTCTTCTGCTTCTGCGCGTTCGGCCTCACCTTCTGCCTCGGCTTCAGCGTCTCCTTCGGCTTCATCACCTTCCATGTCGATGTCAGACAGGCCTGCGTCAGAAGGTGCGGGCGAGCTGAGCGACGAGTCGCTTGTGTCATCCAGACCGTTGCCGTGTGACGCCTCAAACTCGAAGCTCATCTCCTTTCCGCCTGTCGGAGGCTTCTTCTTAAGTTTGTCCTCCTCCAAATATTCTTCAGCGCCCGTCCGTCCTTCCGGCACGCCGTTGATGACGAAGCGAAAATCGACGTCTTTGATTTGTAGTTGGTCGCCACTGCGCAGCACGGCGACACCCTCCTTGTGGTGCACATCGTCAATGAAGAAACCGTTCTTATGGAGCGGGATGGCCTCGAAGACCCCTTGTTCCTTGTTGAACTGGATCTTCAAATGCTCCCTTGATATGGCCTTCGTCTTTTTCGCTATGTCAGGTCCTGGCGAATGGATGCCGATAAACGGAACGTGATGGGGAGAGGGCCGTAAGGAAGCCAGATCGACGGCTGCTGCGCCGGGTGTGTGCGAGACGTACTGGCGATTTGAGATGAAATTCTCGTCTGCCTCGTCTTCTTCCGGCTGCTTCTGCGAAGACCCGGTGCTGGTCGTCTTGCGACGCTTGGCCGGTCGACCGTCACCTTCGCTATCGGATTCGGGACCCAGCATGCCTCCTTCCTCGCTGACGTACGACTTGCTGAATTTCCTTTGATTGAAGGGTTCTGGAGGTGGCAGTCCGTCGCGTTCGTATTCTTCTGCCTTTTTGCGATACTTTTCGTCTCTCTTCGCTTGCATGAGAGCCTTTTGATCACGGCCTATGATAACGGCATACGTGGTCATCTGGAAAACACTGTCGGCGAATTCTATACGGGCGAAGGATTCCAGGCCTTGTGTCGCGGCAGCGAGGTTGTGTGTGCTTGCGACGAGAGGATCGTTGCCGTTGCCAATTGTGCTGGGGAGGGTAACCTGAGCTGGCGTGACGGTCGGGGGCGGTGACATCTGGTTGGACATTTGATTGCCGGCCATGTGCGCGAGCGCCATCATCATGTAGGCGTGGTCCATGTTCGGAATTGGGGTGTGTGGGAAGGACGAGGAGGAGGCGAAGGGGCCGGCGTCCATGTGAGCTGCTGAGGCCGGGTGCGACATTGTCGCAGGCGGAGCGCTGTCTGCGTCGGCTTCGGCCATAACGGTGTCGGCTGGCCCCGGCGTCGACTGGCGTTTGCTCGACATGTCGTCGTTAGATTGCTGAGCGGTATCGAATGCTTCGGCACGCGACGGCGGCTGTTGCTGATCGGCAGCGGCGGCGGTCGCGGTCGCGGTCGCGGTTTCTGTCGTGTTGTGGTCGTCGGAGTCAGGTCGGCCGGGTGTTGTTGGCGTCGTCTTGCTCTTGGGCGGCGGCGTGGTCGGCACGTTCGCCAGGCCATTTTGGCCGGCGTTGGACGAAGTCATCGCTGCTCTGTAGTCGGACAGACCAGCTCCTTCGCCGTCGGCAAGCCAAGAGAGGCGTTTTGGTCAGTCGCGACAAGTTTGGACCTGATGAGGCTGCGAACAATGCGAGAGATGCCAGAAAAATTACAAGTCATTCTTGCCGCGATTGCAAGGTCGACGGAGGAAGTCGCGACGCTGATTGGCCGCTCGGTGGGCTTCACCTGGATCATGGACCAGCCTTTCCCCGCGCTGCGCAAGTACCCAGGTACCTTTTTCTGTCTCTCTTTCCCTTTGGGAGGAGGAGCGAGCGGCCAGCCCGGCCCAGCCCAGCCAGACACCGACACCGACCCAGCCTGTCCCTTGACCCTCTCTCTGCCCGTTCCCTCCCCCCTTCTCTGCGTCCCTGCCTCCCTTTTTTCTCCGTCCGGGACCTTGCCTGCCTACCTGCCGCCTGCCTAGGTACTACTACACCCATTCAATTCGATTCAATTGGGGAAGCAACGACTGGCCACATGCAGCTTCCCACAACACCACCCCCCGACCCTGATGGAAAATTGATGACTCATCTGTGATGGAGCCCCTTCATGCGCCTCCGCAGTCCTTGTCAATGGGTTCAGACCTGGACCCGGCGCTCTGGTTCGATCAGTTGTCTTGCGGTGAGCGGGAGGCTGTTCACGATGCATCTCGGTCAAGGTCCGAAACACCTCTAGTCGACTCGGGAGAGGGATGGGATAAATGTCGCGCACGCCACCCTGCGTAGATCGCCCAAACTTTCTTGCCTTGGTTCCCACTTCTCTCGGTCAGGGCCCAATGGCGAACGGCCTATCGGTGAAGGAGAACGATGTCCATACCGCCATCCCACTTGCGCGTGCTCTACCGCGGGATGCCAGCCACTGACAGTGCAAAATCTGACGTACGAGAGTGTTCGTTCATATGAGGCTGTAAGATTGCTACCAAGGTACTTTGAGTCTCCCTTGTTCTGTTCATTGTATGTGTCGGTCGAATGCGCCAACATCAAGCCGATGCATATGAAAAGCCGGCCAGACTACCGCCATATAAAACAACCTATCAAACAAGCGTGTGTAAAGGTTAACGGCAGCAAACGGAGCACAACTATATTTCATGTCACAGCAGCTACTCTTGAGGAGGGGCTTGATAGAGAATGCCTTCCTACATGAGGTTCCCCTCGTGTAATGAATTCTTAGGTGCCCTTGAGGAAGCGCTCTGGAGAGAGAGAGAGAGAGAGAGAGAGAGAGAGAGAGAGAGAGAGAGAGAGAGAGAGAGAGAGAGAGAGAGAGAGAGAGAGAGAGAGAGAGAGAGAGAGTATCTTGCAGAATCAAGGACCCGATCGGGTACTCTTCTTGACCAAGATCTATGAATCGACATATCTGGTGCGAAGCAGGTAAAGACGTTCCGAATGCATTGTATATATTTCATGGACGACTCTTTGCGCAAATCCCGCAGGTATCAGGGCAGACACTCGACTCGTCGAGAACCTTCCCAGAACAGAGGCGTGGCGCATTCATCTCAGGAGCGGCGCAGTCTCGCCGCCAGTAAGAGATCTCCTGCCCTCCCACCACTTCTGCGTCCTGTCCGAGAGCCGGTACGCCCAGAAACACAACATGCCCGCGACGAAGCCAATGGCGTCATTCCGGAACGCGAGAATGCCCGCCGTAGTCATCAGCATGACCGTCCACCTCTCGGTCCTCTCGTCGTCCGACAGCGTGCGATGCTTCCTCGTGATGCCTCCTCCGCCGCCGCCCCCGTTACCTGCGGAGCTCTCCCAGAGGTCCGAGGCGCCGTGGTTCAGACTGTGGCCGACCTTGGCCAGCTCCAGGCCCGCGGCGATGACCATAACGCCCAGAAGGCTCTTGGGGTAGTGCTTTAGCAGGTCGATGAGGGAGTTGCCGAAGACGACGCCCAGGATGAGCTTGAGCAGGCCTAACATGATGATGCTCGCGCCGCTGCGCGCCCCAAAACGGTACTGCGCCGCGAGCCCACCGGAGCCGTGGCACACGGGCATGGCACCCCACCACGTGCCGACGAGGTTCATGAGGCCGACGCTCGTACCCACGGCGGTCACCGATGGTGTGGGCATATCTGGCAGCAGGTCGGCGGCGAGGGCGCTGACAGCGATGACGGAGTTGAGGGTGGTGAGCGGGAGCTGACCGATGGCCATGGACAGCGGCTTGTACGTGAACCAGTTGAGGTTCCAGTGGAGCCCGTGAGGCTCCCAGGGGTCGTGCACGCGGAGGATGTGGATGTTGTCATGTTGTCCCGTCACGGCGGCGACGGAGGCGAAGACGAGGGACAGGACGAAGACGAACAGCGCATAGGGGAAACGCGGGAGCCTCTGGGTGAAGATGAGCACGATGAAGGCGGCCAGAGCCCAGAGTCTGTTGTCGACGACGGGATACGTCCATTCCAGATCGCGTAACAGCCCGGAGCCGGCGGCCATGACGAGGGAGAGGCCGGCGCCGAGCTGAATGCCCTTGACGACGGGGACGGGAACGTTCCTAGTGACCCAGCGGAGCAGGCCGGTAAGGCTCATGACAAGGACGGCCAGACTGACCCACTGGCCGGCGGCCATGACGGTTTGAATCTCACCGTACTCGGGGCGTGAGATGGCGGCAGCGGCGATGGCCTAGGGTTATTGGGTTGGCATGTTCACTTCCAGAGAGAGCAGCGTTCCACATGGGTGCTTACCTTCATCGGCTGCACAGGGAGCGGGATGCCGAATACGACGCCGGTCACGATATTGAAGATGCCGGAAAACACTAGTGTACTGTCCAGGTAAATGGAGCCTTGTAACGCCAGTGCAATCATCAAGGGCAAGAGAGTGCCGAGGTCGCCCAGAGCGCCAGAGATCTCGGCGAGGGGAGACCGGCGAAGGGTCACGACATTGTGGCTTTGGACTCGTTTCAGATGACTTAGAACCGTCATGGTGCGGGGAAGTCGCTGGCACGGGGAAAAGGAGTCCTTCGACGTCAAGGAACAAAAGGAGAAAAGGGACATGAAATGATCCGCCTGCAGAGGTGAAGAAGGGCCGGAATTAATCAACGGTGATCAAGGCTGGAAAGCTCACAGGATTGGCCGTGTTTTGGCGGGTGACAACGCTCTCGTGATGGCATTGGCGGCTGGCTAGACTGTCGCTACCTTGTCCTTCAGTCAGGCAGCCGCGTTCCGAGGCGATTCTACTGGATACCGGAGGAAGGAACTCCTCGACCGGGGCGAGGCCGATGGTGATTGGTCACTCGACCTCCGATGGCGGCAGGCGCCCCCGCCGTTTGGTGGTCCGTTGTTAATACCCAAGGTACCTAAGCAGATGGAGCGTTGGGGCTTAAGAAAACATGTCATAGAATAAGCAACGGCGGGTCGTAATGCGAACAACCACCGTGGGCGAACCTGATCATCCTCTCAACATCCCCAACGACCCCTTTGGCAGTAGGATCCGTATTATGTGCATAAGGCAAGGCGAAGTCGGCGGGAAAGTGAAGCGTGGATGGAGCCCAGATGATGACCCGAGATGGCTGGCAACCAAACCGCGAGCTCTCGAAGCGAAGCGGGCGAGGGCCAGTGGGCATAAACGCTAATTTGCAGGGCCGATTATTTCAGCAGAGAAACAAGCGCCTGACTAGATGGAACCCCCATTAGAACAAGCTCGGAGCAAATGAGAAAGAAGGAAAGAAGAGGAAAAGGAAAAAGGGGGGGGAAAGAAAAAAGAAAAAAGAATCGAACTGGGGTGGAACGGGCGGGCGACGGGATTCGGACTGTACGGATGGACACCCAATGGGCCCACACCATGGTCTCACTCGCGAGCCGCGTGTGGAGCTTTGAGGTTGCTTACAGCGACAATCAACAGCGCCCCAGGCTAGAGAGCTCTTCTATGAGGGTTTTACGCTACCAAATCAGAGCGTCGGCCATGGACACGAGAGAAGCTGCCGGTGTGACGTTGCCAGCGAACGGGGCGCCGTTTTGAGCCAAGGGCAGGGCGGAATCTGGCGGGGGATGACTGATCAGGATGGTGGGCGCGAGATCCGAAACGATGGCGAGCGTTACAGAAGAGAGCGGCGCCATTGACTTCTATCTGACTGCAAGCCTTGTAATCATCTATTATAGGAGGGTGGTTTGTTCATTTATTCATCATTAGATGGGCAGCAAGAGTTACCTGGCTGGGATTGACCAACTCCGCATCGCTGCGCACCGTGATTTTCATTCTTGCTTGGCCGAGGCTCAGTCAGATGACTGGTTCAAGCATGGTTTTGGTCTATTCTCTTGTTGGAGAGAGAGGTCGGTCGCCAATTCGTTGCCAACCGCTCCGCAGCAGCTCGGCCGGGCGCAGCTCGGGGGCAGGGCGTCGAGCCTTGCCATCGTGGAAACGAAGCCAATGCTGCAGATGGCCTGCCAAGGCTTGTGCTGTTGGAGGCGACATCCTGCCTACCTAGAGCAAAGCGGCTTTCCTCATGATGTTACCGAGAAATCTCCCGACAACACACCTATCGGTGAAGGCGACGCCGGCCGACGACGGATCCAGGGAAACAAGAGCAGCAGGCCCAATCGAGGATCGAGGCCAGCACAGATAAGCCCCGTTGCCCGGTCGGTGAGGTAGGTGCCGATGGAATTACTACGCAAAAACCCCATCATTCGTTCCCCGTCAGACTATCCGTATGTGTAGACAGAAGGGGCGTACCTACCTAGTGTGGTATGTAGGCTACTACAAATCAGGCCTTAGCAAAAAAAACAGAAAGTCTCTTGTTGTTGTTGTCATTGTCATCGGTACATGAGAAGGCCAGCGATACCCCTTACTGCCACGAGGTAGAGCGGACCTGGACGAAGGAAACGAACCAGTGGCCCTGCAAGCCCCACCAGCAGAATGGGTGCCGGGGGGCCCGGTGCACGTCCCGGCTCTGGGCCTCGTCAGATCCACCCATGTCATCCAATGGTGCCATCCTTTCTTTGTATGCATTGGGCGTTGGCAGTAGATTGATTGTCGAGGACGAGTTGTGTCGCGAACTGGGACCGAAATTCGCGCAAGGAAAAGAGACCTTCCGGGAGACCAAGATTCAACTGTGTGCTTGCACAAACACGTCCATTTACCTACTAGCTACTGGGTAGGTAAGCTAAGGTAGGTGGGTGGTATACACGTACATCGTACTAAGGTACGGATACAGTAGGTCTCTTGGAGGTGGGCTGGCCCGCATACCCGATTCTCCACAGCGGTAGGCCCTCTGACCCTGCCGTGTTCCCGGCATCCATGGAGACAAGCTTTTTTATTATCCTGCTCGCTTGGCGCCGTTGCTCTGACATAACACACTCTCCGATCCCACCTCGCCATTACGGATCATGACTTGTCAATGGCTTGCTAAGACGGCCTCATGCATGCCGAGGTAGCGGTCTCTGTATGGGTACACGCCAGGGCTTCCTGTCCTGGGCAATTGCGGTGGACGGTTGTGTACCTAGTGTATATACTGTTGTGTAGGTAATTCAGTATAGGTAGGCACGCAGGACGTGGCACGTAGCATTGGCACTCGGAAGGTATGTACTTACTCACCTGGTATTTCGGATGCTACATCCAGCAGGTAGGTAGGTACCTATGTACAAGTATAGGTGTGGTCGCAATGGAGCAAAGGAAGCAACTTGGGTTGGAGAGCAGGCAAAAGCAAGTGACACACTCGCACCTGGTGATCGCCCGACTATTTGACCAGCTATTTACCACTACCTCCGCCCTCTCGTCACTCCACTCGACCGACTCCTTCCAGTGTTTTCCCTCTCCTTCTCCTCATCCTTCAACACGCTCGACGACTCATCAACCACGACCGTCAATCTCATCCTCTCTTGTTCCTCAACCCAACGTCAACGTGAGCTTCGGATGCCAAGCCACCCCCGGTTTTTGTTTCAATCTCGCTGACATTAAGCGCCCTGCGATCGACTTACCAGGTTTCTCTTCCCCACCTCACTCTGTCGTTCGACGCCGAACTCGCGGCCTAATCGGAAAGGTAATTTTGTTCCCTCTCAATGTCTCAATCCCCCGAAAGTGCGAGCCACCACTGCGACAACTGCCCCGGCCTCTCGACTGAGTCTTCGCCGTCGTGCTTCCCAAACTCGGCGCAGCCGAGAAAGTGCCCAAACCGGCGAGGTGCAACCGTGAGGGAAAGCAGCCGAGCTTCGCTTCTTCCTATTTGTATGCGAACGCCGGATATCCCGGTAATGATAATGGATACCGAGCTCCCCAGGCTCGGTTTCCTAAAGGTGACGGACCGGCGTCTCCATAAAATGCCTCAAATGGACAAGCTCACACGCCCGCTTGATGGGCATGTTTTCCCTTGACCCTGCTTGGCCTGGTCTCTTTGGGACGCCACGCCCGCCCGTAGTGGACAGTCGCCATGGCCACTCGCTCTCTCTCATACTTAACTCACTCGCCTGTCATGCTTTCTATTTTCTTTTCCTCCTCTTAACTTACCCGCTGACAAGTCTTCTTCCCCAGCCGACTTCGCACTCATATCGTTCAAAATGCCTGCCATCAACTCCATCATCGCCCGCGACGCTGTTCACCAGCTTGCGAAGCGCAAGAACTGGGCCTCCCGAGAGGCCGGTGTCATTGTCGTCTTTGCCATCGTCTTCATCGTAGCCTGCGGCGTCACCGGTCTTTGTGTTTCCCGCTGCCTCTCACGCCGCAAGGCCAAGCGCCTAGCTACCCAGTCCCATGTCTAAACGCCACCATCTTTCCCGCCCGGGAGCAGGGAGCATGAGAAAGAACAGACGAAAGTAATGAAAGACTTCAGACTGGACGCTGCTCTGAAGTCGGGATGGACCACTCTCTCAACCCACTCACGCACGAGGAGGGCTCAGGCCGGTGCATGCCAATGAGCCAGCCTCTTGATGTGTCGATATCGTTCATATTTACACCATCACGGATCACCACCGACCTTCGATTCTCGAACCAAGTCACCGTCTGCAGGATTGGAGTCTCACGAGAGACGCGGTTACGAAGGAAACGCCCGGGCTATACATACAAGCACGATGACCAGTCGGATAATACGTGGGAGCGGTCACATATCAACCGCGACGCCGCAAACACATTTTACACCAATCTTTAATGATACCTATTTCACGTTGCACAAAGCGTACCTCTCTTTACCATTGCCATTGTTGTTGTTCCCGCTCGCAATTCCGTATCGTGATGTTCGCCTCATTTGCCCGACTTCCCCGCCCCCCCTGGCAACGCGGGCATTCCTGGACATGTGTCGCATAACACAGAAAAAGAAAACAAAGAAACAGTGGTCCTGTTGTTTGTTTTGTTTTTCACCCTAGCTGCAATTAAACTAGGACACCAGACGGTATGGCTGCCAGCTAGCTACCCTTCCTACGGCCTAGTCGGCATCAACCTCAAGAGACTTTTACGAGGGAGGCTTGGCACTGTCGCAGCTTGGCTGTCACCCACGCGGGTGTTGCGCAACAGAACTTGACCCCCCCCCCCCTCTTCCACGCCAGACTTGCATGGCCCCGGCTCTCTTCCGTCGAAGCGTCGTCACTTTGCTGGCCAAGAGCGCCGCCAGGTTTCTGGCAGATAACGTCGTGTCGCTTCCAGCCGCATGCTTCCTTATGGTCTTATGGTCTGGAAATACAAAACAAAACACGAACAAAAACATGGTGCGGAGCGGCTTATCAAGCCCGAGTTCACCCAGCAAAAGCAACCCGGCCGGGTCTATCCTGTGTGATGCAGTCGACTACTAGAATACAATGTGCCCGGGTGATTGATGACGAAGCTCTACACCCTTGTTCCTGAGCATTATGGTTGCCTCGTGTAAACCGATGTGAGACGTAAAACACCCGGATCACGCAGCCGCCGCGCCACTCTTCTAGACGTCACTTGCCCCCCCAAGAAACCTCCTCCTCCTCCAAATCCATAACGCCGACGAGGACTGCGTTTCCCACACTTTCTTCCTCAGTCCGTCAATGGAAAAGCCAAAGGGAGGTCGGTGAATTTAGGTTGGCGTGCTTCATGGATCAGCCCTGGGCCCCCCCCTCCTTTTCCTCCCAGCGGCGCGCGACCCGGCGATCCCGCCCACCCGCCGCACCGTGCACGCACACGGGCCCGAACCTGGTTGTCCAATTCACGAAAGGGCGGACGCCGGGATGGCTTCTCCGTGGTCCGTTTCTAGTCCCTAGCCGGAGAGGCGTGGTTGGATTAGATGTGAGGTTGCGTCGTAGAAGTCAAATGGCTGGAGCGATGCCGTGTGAATGATGCCGATTTGGGCGCGGCCGAGTGGTCGGTTGAGTGGCGAAGGCGGCGGGGGCCGAGGAGGGGCCTAAGTGGGTTTTTTCCCCCGGCCGTCGGCGGCGTATATCCTTTGCTTTGCGGGCCATAATGTAAGAGACATGCGGCCCAAGAAAGTCCAGAAGCTCTCTCTCTCTCTCTCTCTCTCTCTCTCTCTTTCTCTCTTTGTCGCCGTATCCGAGTCTCGTCGTCCTGCAAAGGGACACGGAGAAAGGGAAGAACGAGTGCGACGTCAAGGATAGGTTCGCGTGGCGCCGTGGATGGGCGTGTTGGGAAGGTCGGTCAGTCCACTTATACCGGCTCGTGGCGAAATCGGCAGGATCCGTTCCATGGAGGTCATGACGTGGATCCAAGATGGTGTCAACGGGTCCCGAGCTGGGGAGAAGGGGGGGACGAGGTAGAAGAAGTTTCGAACACGACTTTTTGATTTATCCCCGCCGAGCACGTCTATGCAAAAGCAGTATGGGGGGGCCCAGTGGGGGCTGTTAGTGTTGATTGAGCGATATGTTCGCTCGTTTGTTGCGCTGTGGTGGTAGGGAAAATAAAAAATGATGGAAAAAAGGCAGAAAAAAGGGAAAACCCCCGTCGCCTACAGGGTATCGCGGCAGTCGGTATGGCACCCATCTGAATCTATTCGGGAACGCCCCTCGGTCCTTTTGTTTTTTCCTTTCATAGAGCCCTCCGGTGCACACTGACGAAACACCAATGCCGGAACACCCTCCCGAATAACAATAATAATAATAATAATGGTGATGATGATGACAATGATGATATTACGGTCTTCCATCCGCCTCGGCGAACCACCCGGCGTCGGCTCACAGGTAGTCCCAGGCGATCAGCAGCGGCAGCGCGATCAGCAGGAACATGGAGGCCACCAGGGCGGGCATGATGGGCGAGACGGATTCGGACGCCTCCTCGAGGAACTGCAGGGCGTCGATGAGCGGGACGAGGGCGAAGCGGCGCAGCAGCGCCAGAGGACCGCGCCCGGGCCGGCAGCACCGGCAGCGGGTCCAGACGCTGTGACGGTAGGCGACATCGTCGTGCTTGGGGGCCCCGAGGGCGGCGCGGACGTCGGCGCTCAGGTCGGGCAGGGAGCGCGACGAGACTTGATGGCCTGGTTAGTGGTGTTCTGCTAAGGGTCTGGGGGGGGAGAGAGAGAGAGAGAATGGGTCGGATGGTGTGGTGGGTACGTGGGGAGAGTCGAGTGGGTGAAGGCGGACGGGGATGGGGATGAGAGGATTAGGAAGGTGGAGGAAAGTGGGTAGAGGTCGGTGCCGGGCACTCACGGAGCGGTGGCCGGGGCGGCAGCGGTGATCGGGAGCCGTCGGGAGGGATCTCCTGCGTTCGGCCCTTGGTTCTGGCGTAATAGGCTGTCCTGCGGTGTGAGCATATGATTCCTGTGCGGTTGCCGACCAGAGGGGATTTTGATGGAAACTCGAGACGCATGTGGTCTTCGGATGCGATACTGGGGATGCGGCTCGGGGACATACGCATTATCACTGTCTTGGTGATCTTTCACTCTCGACACCCTTGGCGTCTTCCCCGCGCTTCAAAACGTCCTCGTCCTTGGGTTTCGGGGTTTCCGTCGTGGCCTTTGCACAGTTGCTGATATCGTCACCCGGTCAGTTTCGGGGAGGTTTCAATCGCGAGGGTCAGGACGTGAATGTCGAATCCAGAGTCTGAGGGTTTGCATTCCTCGACAACGAGGGAGACGAAAAAAGAGGGCTGCTAGGGAGACGGGAAGAAGGTGGCATGTGAGATTAGATCGGTTCTCGGCGTCTTCTGGGTTGTTATGTCTGTCTCTGCGCCACTCTCTCTCTCTTCTTCTGTTTTATCGGGACGACGGCTTGCGGAAAAGTGTTGCGTCGCAGGCTGCGACAGGCCGGGAACGGTTGATGAAGTGAGCAAGGTTTGGACCTTTCTTTTTCTTCTTTTTCTCTTGTCTTCCTTCTCTTTTTTTTCCCCTTTTCTTTTCCTTTTTTTTTTTTGTTTTGTTTTTGCTGTTGTATCCTATCGAGTGTCGGATTGATCCGAAGCGGAATGGAAGGGCCTGGGAGTAAGTACCGCCCACACCCTCGTGATTGGAGGCGAACGGGCTGGCTGGAACGAGATGGGATGCCAATGTTTTGAGCCGAGAATGCCAAGACCACCGTTGAAGGTGTTGGGGTCGACCGGGGCGAAGCGAGGGATTTGGCGGCGGTCCTGATGTCGTTGCGCGTGCAGTATGCAGAATGCAACGCCCGACAAAGCGGATCAGATTAGAGAAACGATGTTCCACAGCCAGGAACAGATGTGATGAGGTTGCAAGGTTATGGAAACCGAGGTCGATTAGAGGAGGCGACAGGATGGACAGGAAGAAGAGCGGAAGATTGGTGAGTGAGTGACAGAGAGAAAGGAAGAAAGGAAGAAAGGAAGAAAAAAAAGAGAAAAACTCAGTTGAGGCCGGAAAATCCCAAACCAGAGAGCAATGTAATGTACACCAATACACGGGGCCAGCAGCTGGAACGATCCGCGCAGATACTGCCGCAAGCGTCAGGGAGACTTGGCCGAGATGGTGTCTTCTACGATTGTTGTCGCGGTCGTGCGGTTGCTGTGCGGAGCATGAGCCATTTGAGTTTGAGCTCGAGAAGGGGGAACTCTTCAGGGCTTCAGGGATTGGGATACCAGTGTTTGAGTTGGTTGAATGACCCTGGGCACCGGGAGAGGCTTCAAGCCACAGCTGACCGTCCGTCTTCTGCGTGCGTGACACAGACAGTGGATACTAATATGAGCGGCGCAGTTGGTGTGAAGGTCGACGGTGCGGGCGCCGAGGAGCAAAATGAGGGAGTGAGAAAGGGTGGACGGCAAGGCGTTCCGATTCCAGACACGTCAAGACATCAGCAGCAGATCAATGTTTAGACGATGGGATGGATCGTGCCAGTTTGGCCACATGACCCGTCCCCCAGGCCGGGCAGACCACTACCGGTACATCGGTAGGTAAGGAGGCAAAGAGGACGTCCGCCTCGGGCGCAGATAGCAAGCGATACCTATACCTACTAGGTATACTAGGTACAGGTACAAACCATCTAAACTATCCATCGTATGAAGCAACAAAGTTTGCCGGACCGCTTGCACAGCCTCCTTTTCTCCAACACGTTGGTTGCCGGGAACCACCTTGTCCATGCCGGCCGAGAGCGTGTCATTAATGCCGCCGTTTTTTTCCCATTTCTCTCCTCTGTTAGTGGACAACAACGCAAGCTCTTCTCATCTTTTTTACACTCTTCTTCCCGCAGTGATTTGACCTCGGTTCGTGCAAGGACCTGCGAAAAGACGGCGAGGGGGCGAGCACAGGCCCGGAAGATGCCGGCCTCGAGTCACGATACCTAACTAACACTGCAGGGCATGGGCGGGCAATGGAAGTAGACCGACTGACTGACTGACTGATGAATGCTGCGACGATGGTTGCGCGACTTGAACCACGCAACGCTATCTCGCTGTCCCCAATGCTTTCGTCCGACGATGCAGTCCCTGACAGGGTCTGTGTCTGTGTGTGAGTTTATTTGCGTCGGGGTGCAGCCACCTGAGTCCACCGGCCGGTGTCGATTGAAACTCCAAAAAGGAAAATGGCCGTCCGGGCACATTCACACGTGTTTCCGGGTCAAAACGCCACGAGATCCCTTCCCGACCTGCGTGTCGTTGCCAATTGAATCCGGCCATCGTGGAGGCCCAAGCTAAAGAAAACCAATACCGGAGCCCACCTCCCACCATCTAGACCAACCTTACAGCCGGCCCCTTTTGCTGACCACCAGACGTTGTCCCACACGATGGAGGCTATGCTCGCTTCAGGAAAGACGGTCAGTATTGGACAGGCGTTACACAGATATCATCATCTCAAGGTACAGTGCCAACGTGAAGCACATGGTTCTGTTCTGGTCAAACAGTTCTGGTGTATCCCACGATGGCCCAACTAAATAAAGTATGGCACATGATGTATTTTGGAGCATGCGGAGGGGACGAGCTGCGCTCGTTCTACGATCAAAAGAGGCCAGCATTTATGTGATGGTACTGACACCGACACCTTCCAGCTCTCTGCCCTCATCCAATGTATCCATTTTCTCCCGGTACGATCCAGGCAGCCAGCGGGCAGGTTTGCTCCGGGACATAACGGCTGTGCTTGCTTTCCTCTCCCTGGTGGCGTCTATATCTACATGGAGAAGACTGATCACTATTTACATCGAGGCTTCGGAGGGCCTGAGCGCCCGGCTCATGCTTGGCTGAAGAACCGGGTTGGTTGAAGTCTGCGACTAAGGCGCACAACTAACGCAACTTAGACAGTTTGGCTTGCCATGCTTGTGGCATCCACGAACCACTCGTGCTCAGCCTGCCGTAACTGCTCCTCTGCCGCCCGCGGTATGCCGTATCTACCGACAACAGGTCCTGCCCGGCATACTTGCCCCGCCACGGCCGGTCGCTCGCCTCTTCAAAGAAGTAGTGGTTTGCGCCGCTCGCGTAGGCCACGCGCCACGGCACCACGAGGTCGCGCTTCACCGGTCCGCCGCCGCAGCTGCCCTTGAGCTGCTCGCTGGGCGGCGAGTTGACGGCCAGGGCGAAGAGGTTCTGCGGCTCGGTGAAGTCGGTGACCAGCCCGGATCGCGCGAGGAAGTAGGCGAGGCAGACGGTGTTGATGACCACGACGAGGAAGAGGACCAGGTAGAACACTTTTTGCCATTCCGCCACGTGGCCCGAGGTGTACTCCTGCGTGCGAATCGAGGCCCGGAATGGATCCAGAGCGCCGGGGGCGCCGAGCTGCGTCTTCTCGTGCCGCCAGTAGTGCTCAAACGGCGTGCCGTGGCCGCCGATGATGAGTGTGGAGGAGGCGTAGACGGCCAGAGCTTCCGCCATGGAGGGGAGGAGGGGGTTGAGATGCGGTTCCCCAAGGACAAACTGCGTGAGAATGCGGGCGTTGGAGGCGTTGTTGTTTTGGACGCCGCCGTTGATGTCCATAGACAGGCGCCACTGCTCTGCAATGTTCTGGGGCCAAGGTCAGCGAGCGTCCGCATGTATAGGTGTATGCCGTCACGCATGGATCCTCACCTTCCAATCAACCACGGGCACTGAGAACGTGACCTCTGGGTGGACGTGGTTGTAGCTGTCCTTGTCCTCGGGATCATCGCAGTGGGCTTGCATGTGCGCCCCCGCGGTGCCCGAGATGTTGAAGTGCGTTGAGCAGAGCGGCGATACCCACGAACGCATCTCCCAGAGGGTATAGTTTGTGATGGACGCCGATTTCGCCAGGACATAGATAGCATCGTTCGCAGCGGTGGTGTTGGTCACCATGTTGAAGTCTGCGGGGTACTGGGAGGTAAACTGTCAGCACCCGCATTGTCCGCATTTCTTGCTTGAGCCACTCACGAGCTGGAACACGGGAGGTCGTCGGTTGTACTGCTCCCCCCAGCGAAAGATGTTATCCGCTAACGTCCGGTTGAGCCACTCTGTCTCCGAAAGCCCCGGCACATATTGCTCCCAGTCCAACGGGCCAATCCTCTGGCCCGGGACCAACGTGTCATTGGAGTTGATCTTGCCCATGGGCCATTCCGTATAGACCAAGGGCGCGAGTTCATCCGGCGACATGTTGACACACATGACGTTGAGCGCGGGGGATACGACGCTCGCCTTGATGGCGTACTCTCCCACGCCAGACAAGTCGTTCGGCTGGAGGATCTTGTTCACCGGGTTCGTGGCCGCGTCGTACACGCTTGGGTGAGGCATCGCGAGAGTGACATTGTTAACTATCCTGCCGTGATCCTCGAAGCTCTTGGCCGTGTTGCTAAACTCGACCTCTATCCATGCCGATGTCAGTGTCGTGTTGTCATACAGAAGAGCCGTTCCCACGGGACGGTGCGAGATGTCGACGGTGGCGCTCGTGCCGTTTCTGTTGATGGCGTCCCAGTCGCCCATGAAGGACATCAAATTCCGGTAAGCTGGAGAGAGACGATCAGTGCCTTATCTTTACACGACACACTCGCTCCGCAAACCCGCTTACACTGTCCTGCGTACTGCACTTCGAGACAAGCACGTCCAGCAGTGTCAACGCCCGCGGGATCGTTATCTCGCAGTGGCGTCTGGCAGCTCTCGCGAGCAAAGGGGGGATTTGCGTAGGAGGCCAAAACGTAGCCGCTCAGCGTTTTACTCTCCCAGCCACCGAATTTCAGCTTGGGGGCTACCAAAGCATCGGACGCGGTCGTGTAGAACGTCGACGCAATCGTCGCGACAAGAGAAACCACCCCGAGCAGCGTCATCCCGGCGTAAGGCAGCGTCTCCGAGTGTGTAATGAGGAACCCTGGTTGCTTTGTCGAGTCAGGTCATCCCCATACCAGAAAGAGGCATACTTGAACTCACAATGACCCAGTTCCTCATCGTCATTTCGGCTAACGTCATGCCTTTGGACTTCTTTACGAAAGCGCGGC